GAAATACTTGGAGCCAGAGATCGTAGAAGGGGCCCTGAGACAGGAAAACAGAATGCTGTGTACTCAGGTGGTTCACAGGCAGGAGTTTAAACATCAGATTTAGAAAGGAAAACCAACTAACATGATCTTCAGATATTCTCTTTCCTAAGACAAGGCTAGAGCTAGGGCTGCTTGATTGTGTGTGTGTGTGTGTGTGTGTGCGCGCGCGTGTGTGCGCCCGCGCGTAGGGAGACAGAGTGTGTTTAATTATAGCAAAACATAACAAGATCAAATACTGTTCATTTCAATGATTTGTTTCTAACTGTTGTCAGAAAAAAAGTGTTTGCTATATTTGCTATAGCGTGTGTGTGCGCGTGTGTGTGTAATTGCACTTCTGAGAGCAATTAGAGTGCTTGAAAGTAGAGCAGCATATGCCAATTTGTAGAGCTGCCCCGGTGTATACCCTAAGTTTCACAGATTCCAGATAAAAGAGCCTCTTCAGAGACAGAGGTCAGTTTCTAAAACACATAAATGATAAAATATAAAGATGCTTTTCACTGACATAAATTTCATTCCAAATCCCAGGTGTTAGCTACTCTCTTCAATATCTTTCTAGAGAAGGTTTAAACATATGCCAGAATCTTTTCTTCCTTCAGGAGAAGCAAGCTGCTGGAATTTTAGCTGAAGTTATAAAATGACAAAAAAAGATGTTAGATAGACAGAAAACTGTCATAACAAAGTCTTAACATTTGAAGAACAAAGTTGCAGAACTTTGTTGAAGTTTTAGTCGAAATTATAAAATGTAACTTCAACTAAACTGAAATTATAAAATATAACTTCAACTAAAATTATAAAATAAAGTTATAAAATGCAAGTCTACAATAATGATACCAATGTCATACTGATATAAGAATAGGCATAGGCATACAGACCAATGGAACAGAATTGAGGGTCCAGACATGAACCTAAACACCCACAGTAAATTTATTTTCAACAATGATGCAAAGACCATTCAACAAATGGTGTTGGAAAACTGGATAACCAGAAGCAAAAGAATTAAGTTTAACCTCTTCCTCATTTCATACACAGAAATCAAATAAAAATAGATCTACTGGCCAGGTGTGGTAGCTCACACCTGTAATCTCAGCACTTTCGGAGGGTGAGGTGGGAGAATCTCTTGATAGATAGTGCTAAATCCTCAAAACTCTGAATTTGGCAATAAGTTCTCAGATTTAATACCAAAACCACAAGCAACTATAGAAAAATAAACAAACTGGATATCATCAAAATTAAAACCTATTGTACATCAACGGACATTATTAAGAATGTGAAAATGCAACCTGTAGAATGGGAGAAAACATTTGCAAATCATCTATCTGATGTGGGTTTAATATTCAGAACATATAAAGATATACAGTGTAATAAATTAATAATACATAGATAATATAATAAAGACTGATAAATGGACTTAATATTTAAATAACAATATCCAAATAATAATTAAAAGACAATCCAGCTGAAAAATGGGCAAAAGCCCTGAATAGCCATTACTCCCAGAAAATATACAAATGACCAACAAGCACATGAAAAGACGTTCAACATGATTGGTCAATAAGAAAATGCAAATCCGAAGCACAATGAGATACTACTTCATAACCACTAGAATGGTTTTAATCAAGAAAACAAAATAACCAGGTTTGCCAAGGATGTAGAGCAACAAGAAGCTTTTTGTAATACATTGCTGGTGGGAATATAAAATGGTGTAGGTACTTTGAAAAACAACTTGTCAGTGCCTCAAAATGTTAAACGTAGAATTAACCATATGACCAAGCAATTCTACTCCTAGGTATATGCTGATCTAGAACTAGAAATACCATTTGACCCAGCAGTCCCATTACTGCGCATATACCCAAAGGATTATAAATCATGCTATTATAAAGACACATGCACACGTATGTTTATTGTGGCACTATTCACAATAGCAAAGACTTGGAACCAACCCAAATGTCCATCAGTGATAGACTGGATTAAGAAAATGTGGCACACATACACCATGGAATACTATGCAGCCATAAAAAAGGATGAATTCATGTCCTTTGTAGGGACATGGATGAAGCTGGAAACCATCATTCTGAGCAAACTACCACAAGAACAGAAAACCAAACGCCACATGTTCTCACTCATAGGTGGGAATTGAACAATGAGAACACCTGGACACAGGGCAGAGAACATCACACACCGGGGCCTGTTGTGGGGTGGGGGTATTGGGGAGGGATAGCATTCGGAGAAATACCTAATGTAAATGATGAGTTAATGGGTGCAGCAAATCAACATGGCACATGTATACTTCACGTTGTGTACATGTACCCTAGAACTTAAAGTATAATAAAGAAATATTTTTAAAAAGAAATAAAGATATATGTCCACAGAGAAAATTGTACATGAATGCTTACAGTGGCATTTCTAGTAATAGCCAAAAGGTACAAATAAACCAAATGTTCATCCACAGATCAATAGGTAAACAAACTGTGGTATGTACATACAATGAATGTTATTCAGCCATGAAAAGGAATGAAGTACTGAGACATGCTACAACTGGAATGAACGTTGAAAACACGATGTCAAGTGAAAGAAGCCAGATACAAAAGGTCACATATTGTATGATTCCTTTCATGTAATATATCAAGAATAGGAAAAGTCATAGAGGCAGAAAGCTGATTAAAGGTGTCAGGGCAATAGGGGTATGGACGGGTATAGGGAATGTCTACTTCATAATCACAGAAATCTTTACAGGGAATAAAAAAATTTTGAAACTAGAGAGAGCTGGTGGTTGCATAACCTTGTGAATACATTAAATACCACCAAATTGCACACTTTAAAATGGTTAACTGTATGTTGTGTGACTTTCACCTCAATAAAAAAAGAATAAACTACTTAGTAGCAAATTTAATAAAGTAAGTACTAGACTTGTAAATTGAAAACTACAAATTATAATTGAAAGAAAATTTTAAAAGGCCTTGATAAATGGAAAGAAGTCCTGTGTTCATGGGATGAGAAACTTAATATTGTGAAGAAGACACTACTCCATCAATTGATCTACAGATTCAGTGCACCACTATCAAAACCCCAGCTGGCTTTTTCTTTGCAGAAATTTACAAGTTAATTCTAAAATTCAGATGGAAATTCAAGGGACTGAGAAGAACAAAAACAATTGTGAAAAAGAACGATGCTGGAGGACTCATACGTTCCAATTTGGAAATTTACTACAAAGCTACAGTAATCAAAGCATGATACTGGTATAAACTGGACATACGAACCAACAAAAAAGAACTGAGAGTCCTGAAATAAACTCATACTCTATGAGCAATGGATTTTCAATAAGGGTGACAATAGGGAAATAATAGTCTTTTGTAACAAATCTTTATGATCTTAGATTAGGCAATGCTTTTGTAGACACAACTAGCATGTTAATGATGGCACAGTTCTGGACCTCTAATTCCAAATGTGCTACACAGAATTTTTCTAGGCTCACCCAACGCCAAGAGACTGAGCCTATTCATGAAGCATAGTGAGAACAAGCTGGATGCAGTGGAGAGGTTATTTCACCAGACGAAAATGGTAAGAAGCATTCCACATCTCTAGGCACACCAACTCAAACCACATACTCTTGAGATCTGACAAGCATTTCATCTCATCTTAAGGAACATTATTCTAAAGTTAGTTTTAGCCACTTTTACAGAAAAATAAAACAAATGACTCTAAATCTCTCCATATATCAAAATCAAAATTTAAGGTGTTAAATATTTCATAAAACCTTTCTAGACCAAACAGGCGTTTTTTAATAATTTGTGATTTGGGTTTGGCTTCTTTATTGTTTTTAATTCTTGAAATTATCTTCACTAAATTCAAGAATTTGATGAGAAATCCTAGTATTTTTCTATATTTAAGGCAAAAACATTAAAAAACAGCAAAAGTATGAATCATTTGAAACAAAAGAACATTTGCTCCATTCTAGAACGGCACATCCCTTACTCTACATTTCTTTCTGTACATTTTTCATTGAAAGAAAATATCTGTCTGCTCGAACACTTGTGTTAAAAATACTAAGATTATACAGCCTGTACGTCTAATTCATTTTTAAATTAAAAAACAAAGGGACTTGACAGAGCAAGTCTCTAAACATTTCATAATATTTCTGTAATGAGAAAAAATAAATAACTCGATAGAGTCCTTATTTAAATGTTTAGCTAAGCTGTTAATTTGGTTTGCAGAAGGAGGTCTGGCAAGTTCTAGAGACCCATTGGTAAGTTGGTTCTTACTGCTTAGATTTCTGTACTTCTACATTTAACTCCAAAGTTAATTATATTTAATAATCATATCGTTCAATTAAATTATTAGATAAATTATGTAAGTAGAAATAGCTAGTTTTAAATATCAGTATTCAACAATGGTACCCATTTGTTGGATAAAAATTTTTAGCAACTTTGTTTTAATGGCTGCCTAGTACATCTTTTTTTTTTTTTTTTCTTTTTTTTTCTCTTGAGACGGAGTCTCACTCTGTCACCCAGGTTGGAGTGCAGTAACACGATCTCAGCAACTGCAACCTCCACCTCCCAGGTTCAAGCGATTCTCCTACCTCAGCCTCCCGAGAAGCTGGGATTATAGGTGCCCACCACCACACCCAGATAATTTTTGTATCTTTAGTAGAGATGGGGTTTCACCATATTGACCAGGCTGGTCTAGAACTCCTGACCTCAGGTGATCCGCCCACCTTGGCCTCCCAAAGTGCTGGGATTAGAGGACAAGCCACCACACCCAGCACCTAAGACATCTTTATAAACACAGTTCATCTTCATTATGGGGAAGGAAATGCAGGTTTCAGGCACTTGGTGGTCAACAGAATCTCACACAGCATTTTTATAATATACCCTGTATTAAAATACGGTCTTCATAAACAAAATAAAAATGAGGATTGCCACTTACAGAGATGACTTCAGAGAAAGTCCAGGCAGTCCACTCACCTTGGGGTGCTATCAGAGTTCTTCCATTCTCCTGACACCAACCAACTGGCTGGACGTAAGGGCTATTAACATCACACCTGGAGAAACAGAACTCTATTTTACATTCCGTTTTACTTAATGCCAGACAAAGAATTCAAGAGTAACAGTCATTCTGGATATCAAGAGATACCACAGAAAACAGTACTTCACAGCTGGAGAGAATTAGAAGGAATTTTCAGTACTGTATTAGTAGGCTGTTACCACACTTCTCTTTCACATAAGCTTCTTGAAATTTAAAAGTATAAAATTAACAGGGGATTGGCAAGGACCTGAACTGCCAGTGACGTTCCCAAAAAAAGCGAGTGAGCATTTTAATAAACTTCTACCACTTCTTGCTGGCAGCAAGAGAAAATATTAATAGGACAGCCCAATCAGACTGCAGATGACATTTTTCCTCCCCGTCCTTTTCAAAGAACCCAGAATATTCTGCCTAAGACACATATACAACAATTCCTCTCTGCTTTGCCTCTGAGTTCAAAGCAGAAGACAGGGCCCATCAGGCACATGAAGAACCACTGCCTCAGGCACGGACGTGGAGATTACTCAGGACATATGTGGAGAAATGCTGTAAAAATTATTTTTGCCATGACCTCTTGCATATTTCAGGTTTTTAATCCCAAAAAAAAAAAAGAAGAAAGACCCCTTTCAACTCATGCCATATTATTTTAATGGCATGGTAGCATACATTTTCTCCGCTCCCCATACACTTTCGAAGAATTCACTCCCATTTTCCTAGAATCTTTCCTTTTAAAAATGTGACAAGGTACATTTAAGGTTTTTCAGACCAAAAAAAAAAAAAAGAACCATACTGGAAGTTTTTAGCTTCCTCTTCACAGAAATGTTTTCCTTACAAACTAGACAAAATACAGCAAAGTGTCCTTAACTGGTTATATTATTTCAGACGAGGCTTCACCGGGTAACCTCTACAGATGGAGAACTTTCTAGGGCACTTTAATGCGGTCATTCACATGGAAGAGAAGGAAGTGAACAGTCAACCACCAAATTCCGGATGCTCATCACTATTACAACAGCAAGAAGAGCGACAGTGCTAGAATGAAAACAAATTCTTAACACCAAACATATGAATACACAAAAACAAAACACACATTCGTATCTCACCAGTAATCGTAACTATCATCCCAGTTGTCAAAATGCACTAGTAAGCGATCTTCAACAATATCTGCTATGGTCGCCACACACACCAAGGAAGGGTTCTTCCTGTCGACGGCTTCCAGCTTCATTCCAACCTGAAATTCTTTAGGCATTGGCCCATTCTAACGCAGCACCAGCAGGGGAAGAAGCACAAAAAGAAACAGGACACCAAATAAGACTGAGCCACTGTCAAAACTTCTGTGTTTACATCAGCAAAGTCTGCAGTTGTCAGCGCTTAGCCTCTGGACAAAGCCAGCAAATGCCTGTAAATATATCTGGCAACTGTCACATAGTTTATGCTCATAACAAAGGCCCAGGAAACCAGTTTTCCTTTGTGCTTTTGTCTTTTCTTGTGCAGGGAGGTTTTATTTCCCTTATCATCTTCATATTTCCCTCTTTGATTCTTAGAATAATTTGCATTAATTTTAAAATATGATGTTTACATAAGTATCAAATAATCTTCTCTGCTTCCCATAGGCTTCTGAAGTTTCCAAATGCCACTATTTGAAAAAGTGGTGAAGATACACTCTAATTAGCACCAAAGTATCCTTTCAATTTGATTACTCAATCTGAAAATAAGTGGCTTTTTCAATATTTAAGGAATACATGCTTAAATAAAATTATAATTTAAAATGTGAATTTATACATATTTATATACATTTAATATATAATTTAAATTTATAATTTAAAAATGTGAATGCTTTTTTATTATCTGTACTTTTTTAGTATAAAAATACCATGAACTATGATTTACAATAACTTAACAATTACAAACCCACCCTTCATATATCTATAATTAGCCAGTCCTGGGATTTAGGGAGTACACATAATATCTGGGGACTAAAAGAGGATTTTTTTCTCTACTTCTCTTTTATCAAACCCTGATGTTTACTCTCCTTCAGCACATTCTAATTTTACAGCAATTTCACATTTTAATAGCTTCTTTTCTTGATACAAATCTATGAAACATAAGTAATAATTGTATAACACTGCTTTCCAGATCACAGAAGTCATGTCTAGAGAAATTCAGTGAGTGGCCTGCACAGTGACACCGCCTGCCGGTGGCAGAGTCAACTTCTGGGGTTGCAGCTTATTCTCCTCTACTGAAGGTTCACCAGATTTCTGGGGACACAGATGGCATAAGAAGTGTGATCTACCCAGATCCTCAGAACACTCCTTCAATTAGTACAAAATGTTACTCTCGTTTTCATTACACTTAAACAAATCTAGGCTGGGTACATTCAAAGCCTACTTAGAGTATCCGCTGGTTTCAAAACACCAAAACCAAGATTAAAGGATTAACTCATTGTAAGAGAAAACATTTTTAAAAGATACTTTTAATTTTAGTAGGCTTTAAACATAAAGTTTTTAACTTTTCCCATCTACTTGAAGTAGTTATACTTTTAAAGGAAGAAAACCAAGATATGCCCATAAGAAACTGACGAACTAGGTGAGAAAAGTCATAGGAAGTTAAGAGTTTCCATAACTTCTTCAAGGATTAAAATAAAATAGAATATATAGTGAATTTTAAGAAATTTAAGCGTGGGCAAATTTGATTTATGCTAAGAAAGAAAATACTTACAGGACTTCTGTTTCTGAATAATTTCTTCGGAGCATTTTGCAATTTGCAGGCCTTCAGGTAATCCATCCAAACAAATTTATCTTTTCTATAACCTAAGAAAAAGCACGGATTACTCGGAATGCCCAAAAGACATAATCACATGCATAGTAAATATATTAGGTTGGTGCAAAAGTAATTGCGGGTTTTGCCATTACTTTTATTTATTTATTTATTTATTTATTTATTTATTTATTTTTTAGATTTTTAAAATTATACTTTAAGTTCTAGGGTACACGTGCACAACGTGCAGGTTTGTTATATTTGTACACATGTGCCACGTTGGTGTGCTGCATCCATCAACTTGTCATTTACATTAGGTATATCTCCTAATGCTATCAATAACTTTTAATGGAAAAAAAAAAACAATTACTTTTGCACCAACCTCATATTATTATTATTAGTGTCCTGTCATAAATTCAATGTCCTTAGCACCCACAAAAGATTTAAATTAAAATCTTCAAATGGTTTCACCTTTTTAAAATATATTATGTTCAAAACTGTTGACAATGCTTCCCCATCACGCACATCATTGCCATATAATTTCATATGCTCTGATACGGAGTCAGTACTCTGGTGGCTTGATGGGAGTCTCATCGCCCATTAAGGCTTTCCTGAATGGGCAAAGGGATGAGACCACAGTTCCCGCACCTGTCCCCACTCCTGAGGAAGCAACATCACAGAGACCATCAGAGGTCCTGATGGTGCAGCCATCCAGGATGCCAGGCACAGAAACCCCTTCTCAGTCCAAAGCCCAGTCGACAGCTCCAGCTTTCTGCGCCACATCTTTACAAGTCTCCCATTAGAAACTGCTGCATCCTCCCATTCGCATGCCCTAGCGTAGCTCTCACACAGTGCTGGCCACACAGTACAGGCTCAAAATATGGTTCTGAGCACCAGCCTTGGAACAAGAGTCAAACTCCATGCACAGCCTTCCAGGCCTGGGAACACCCCCCTCTTCGTCCCCGAACTTCCCGCCTGGGCTTCTCTGCTGTCTCCCTGAGATGACTCGTCCTCGCCAAGCACACTCCTGCCCCGGGCACCTGCTCCTGTTCTTCCCTTGGATGGCTTACCCAGACACCACACTGCTTCCTCTCTCAGTTCACCCACGTCTCCTTGGGACATTACGTCAACAGAGAGGCCTTTCTCCCCCATGCTTTCTGAAAGAGTGTCCCTGCCGCCACCGCCATTATCCTTCTCCTCTGACATGAAGCCCCATGGAGACAGAGACATTGCTTTACTTGCTGTTGCCCCCAGTGCCTCACGTGGTAAGGGCTCCATAAACACCTACTGAATGAATGAGCCTGGAGCCTGTCACCAGCTTCCTTGAAACCAGCAACCTCGAGGGACTCTGCCATCAGGCTCAGGGGAGGATCCTGGGGGACACCCTGAGTGGATAACTAAGAATAAAGGACTACATGTTGACTCCAGAAGTTGCCACAGTCATCAAACAGTCTGACACCCAAGCCAGAGACCGTGTACAGAAGTTTGCTGTGCAAAGATATGAGCCCATCAGCATCACCCTTGACCACATCCCCACCTCACTAGCACACAGCAAATCGAAAAGGTTTTGGTCACATCTGCCTGGCCCAAATTCCTCTAGTATATAACAACACAATGATAGTTTTCATTCCCATCAAAAGAAAATAGTGATTTTTCTTTTTCATAGTTTCATGTTTCCCATGATTCCTAAGTTTGAAACAAATTATTTACAGTGAATCAAGTTTCCTCACCTTGCAGTATCACTGATCAGATATTTCATTTCAACCATGATTTAAATATTAGTCTGCACTCCTTATAAGGTTTAATAAACTTTATATGAAATAAAATAAAATGTTTTCATAATATTTTATTTCTACCCTCTGTACATTATCAGAATTTTTGACCTAAATAGTCATTTATGCTTTTCTTTAAAGATATTTACTTCTAAAAATGGTACCATTATAGTCTTACTACTCTTTGTGGATCACAATTTCATTTTGGAAACCAATTCTCACCAGGATCTCTTGTTAGAATTTCATAAAATGTTGTTAAAATATAAGTGAAATGCCAGTTGATTCTCTTTCCAGTTGGTAAATGTATCCTGGCTTACCCTTAGGGATGTGCAATTCATGTTTGGTCTTTTCACACCATCCTACTGGATGAATGTCAGGGGAACCAGCATTGGTCCAAAAATCATAGCAACTTAAATAACCATCAAAATGAAGTCTTAGACGGTAACCACAAACCTGCAAGACAGAAAGTTTACAATCATTTGTTAAGTGCCATGTATTTGGAATAGACACAAAATTCACAAAATATTTACATATTTTGTCAGTACTATCAACATATAAGAGCCAACCCTTCTACCCAAATATTTCCATTAAAGAACAAATTTATGGATGGCCTCTGATTAAGACAAAATGGTAATGAAATTAGACCCTGTCTTATAGGTATCTAGTGCATTCTGCAAAAATAGTGACCCTTTTACCCAATCTAGGAATCTGAGGGTCAGTTTATGTATTCATTAATTAACTGTTTTATTTATTAATTCAATTCCTGTCAAATATTCCCTTCAGCAACCCTATCTTCTGCCCTCTGGCCTGGATTCATATTCCAATACAGTGTAAGCTAAAGTACAAAGCAAAACTAAAATAGGCATGGCCTTGTTTCAACTCTAACATGTGTATCCAGCATACTCAATAAAGAGAATAATAAAGCGGTCTGATAAATACATCCTCTAGACATGTGGTACAACTTTAATAGCCATAATCAATCAGTAAAGTAAATAAATGTGACTGTTATGTTCAATGCTATCAGAAATATAAAGATCTTTTATTGATTTAATAATATGTTTAGTAAGTATTACATTTTATAAGCCATTCATCAAGAGCTCTCCACTCTAAATAATTTTCATAAAGTGCATGCATTTATATAAATGTACAATGCATATGCATTAATATTATTCATACACATTTCTCATTAGTTCAGCTAAAATGTGAATAAGTACGTCTCGGCTAATAGGTGAAAGAAAACACTGGGATTCACAGATTGTTATCAACCTCAAGTGAAAATTATTTACCCGTTAAGTCAAGAGTAAATGCTAGTTGATGAAAGACTTATTAGAAAATTCATCTTCAGAGAAGGAAAAAAATTCACTAAGAAATATAGTTTCACCCATCGCTGACTAAGATAAATCCATAATGCATTGGAACTTATTCATAATAAATATCAAACAAATTTGTTATTTTCTAGAAAATTATCTTTCTATCACTATGCAATTAGCCCAAGACAGTAACACCACCTCTTACCTCCGCTACAGAAAGCACACAGAATACTGATGGATGTCGGGGATCAATGCCTTCTAATCTCATTCCAATCTGAAAACCATTTTCATGCTCGGGAAAGGACTGATCCTACAAAAGTTCACGACATGACATTAGCCACTGAGATTTGTCACAGTTTTACATTAAAACATTTGGTGTCACCTTAGGTGAAGTCTAAAACAACTGAACTCATAGAAACAGAGAGTAGAATGGTGTCTACCAGAGGCTGGAAGTTGAGGGAATGGGGAGATGCTGGTCAAAGGGTACAAAGTAGCAGTTAGGAAGGAGGAATAAATGGTAAGTATTTAAGGTGATGGATGTGTGAGTATGCTTGATTCAATCATTCCACACTGTGTACATACAGCATAACATCACCGTCTACCCCAGGATTATATATGATTATAATTTGTCAAAAACATAAATCAAATAAGTTTTTTTTGTTTTTGTTTTTGTTTTTTTTGAGGTGGAGTCTTGCTGGAGTGTATTGGCACAATCTTGGCTCACTGCAACCTCCACCTCCCAGGTTTAAGTGATTCTCCTCCTCAGCCTCCTGAAAAGCTGGGATAACAGGCACCTGCCACTGTGCCCGGCTAATTTTTGCAGTTTTAGTAGAGACAGGGTTTCACCTTCTTGGCTAGACTGGTCTTGAACTCCTGACCACCTTGGCTTCCCAAAGTGCTGGGATTACAGGCGTGAGCCACCACACCCAGCCCAAATAAGAATTTTTTGAAAAAATGTACTGTATAGTTTAGAAACTCAGTGATCTGGCTAAAGACGGAAGACTGTTCTTACATGTAGTTAGCGCTCAAGAATGGTTTCATTATATTAATGTGCTTTGAAATAGTACCTGAGTGAAGTTATGTGTTCTATGAACTTCCCATTTATTCCTTTTGCCCATTTTTCCTTCCTGTACCCTGGATAACATCACTTTATTATATGGATTACCTACTCTCAGTCTGTGACTTGGCTCTTCACTGTGTTTACAGTGACTTTATTGCAGATAAACTTATAATTTTAACATAGTGAAATGTATCAATTATTTTCTATACATTCTACAGACCCAGCCTATGAAATCCTTCCTAACTCTGAAGCTACATACGTATTTTCCTTTTTTTTTTTTTTTTTTTTTTCTGAGACAAGGTCTCACTCTGTCACCCAGACTGGAGTGCAGCGACACGATTTCAGTTCACTGCAACCTCCGCCTCCCAGGTTCAAGCAATTCTCCTGCCTCAGCCTCCAAGTAGCTGGGATTACAAGCACACGCCACGATGGCCTGGCTATTTTTTGTATTTTTAGTAGAGACAGGGTTTCACCATGTTGGCCAGACTGGTCTTGAACTCCTGACCTCAAATAATCCACCCTCCTGAGCCTCCCAAAGTGCTAGGAGTATAGGTGTGAGCCACTGCGCCTGGCCCTGGTATTTTTTAAGACTGTTGAAGTTTCTTTCTTCATATTTAAATTTGTAGTACAACTGAAATTGAGTTTTCTATGGTGTCAGGGAGAGGCCTACTTTTCTCACATGGAAAACAAATCATTCAAGAAAAGCGTTTTGAATAGTCCATACTTGAATTGATCGGCAAAGTCAGCTCTGTCATATCTGGTTTCTACATACTTGTAGGTCTTATTTCTGACCCCCTCTTGTGTTTCATTGACTTATTTGCCTATATCACACAGTTTTATTTGTTTATAATGAGTCTTTCTATTTAGAAAGCAATCATTTCCATATTAAGTTTTTTAAATTCAGAAACTTGTTCTCTCTCCCATTTAATCTATTCACTTTCATCTGTCAAAAATGTTTTTCGATTTTCACATAAAACTGCCACAATGCTTTGCTATATTTATTTCTAGATACCTTTAAATGTTTGTTGCTATTTTTGCTGTAATATTTTCACAGCAGACTTCCTAATTTGCTCCAATTCATCATTATTTTCTTTAAGCACACACTTTTGAACAGATTCAGCATTATTAGTCAGTTTATTCTTAATTGCAAATAATCATATACTAATGGAAACTGGTGACTACAATCGAGATCTATTAGATCTAGAGCTGCATGTAATCACTAATTGTATTATTATTTAATATTGCTTAACACCTGAATGCCTATTTTGGGGTTAAAATTTATTCTTTGTAAAAATTATTCCCGGGGCCCTGCACAGTGGCTCACGCCTGTAATCCCAGCACTTTGAAAGGCCAAGGCAGGCGGATCACCTGAAGTCAGGACTTCGAGACCACCGTGACCAACATGGTGAAACCCCATCTCTACTAAAAATACAAGAATTAGCCTGGTGTGATGGCGCGTGCCGGTAATCCCAGCTACTCTGGAGGCTGAGGCAGGAGAACAGCTTGAACCCAAGAGACAGATGTTGCAGTAAGCCAAGATTGGGCCACTGCACTCCAGCCTGGATGACAGAGCGAGACTCCACCTAAAAATATAAAAATAAAAATAAAATTATTCCACTGGGAAATTTAAAAGTTGCAACAACAAGACAGTGCAGAGAGCACATGCATAGACAGCCTTTGCCTAGATTCACTTGTTGTTATGTTTCACCCGCTTTGCTTCACCATTTTTACTTACGCTGTCCCTCCTGTCTCTGTAACCATATACACAGATAGAGAAACACACGGATATAAATTCTTTTCTGAACATTTTGAAGGCCCTTCATTTACCCCAAAATAATTTTCCCCAAGAGCAGTGTATTTTCCCTAAGAATAGAACATTCTCTTACAAAACCATAACTCAGTTATAAACTTCTCTGAATTTAACATTTATACAATACTTTTTCTAATCTTCCATTCATATTCCAATTTTGTCCATTTGTCCAATAATATGCTTTCCAGCATTCACCCCCACACACTGCCTGCAACGCAGGAGCCAGTCTAGGGTCGGATGTGACGAGTTGATGAGCCTCTTCAGTCTTCCTTAATCAGAAACTTTGCCCATCCCGTGTCACGATCGTGTATAGCACTGACATGCTTTTAAGAATGCAGAATTTCCCCTCCTCTGATTTGTTTCTTTTTTCTTTTTTTAGATGGAGTCTCGCTCTGTCACCCAGGCTGGAGCGCAATGGTGCCATCTGAGCTCACTGCAACCTCCGGCTCCCAGATTCAAGCGATTCTCCTGCCTCAGCATCCCGAGTAGCTGGGATTACAGGTGTGCACCACCATGCCTGGCTAGTTTTTTTTTTTTCTTTTTCTTTTTGAATTTTTGTTTGTTTGTTTGTTTGTTTTTAGTAGAGACAGGGTCTTACCATGTTGATCAGGCTGGTCTAGAACCCCTGTCCTCAGGTGATCCACTGGCCTCGGCCTCCCAAAGTGCTGGGATTACAGGCCCTTCCTCTGACTTTTTTACGAGAACATTCCTCATTTTGGGTCTGTCTGATGCTTTCTCAAGATTTGATTCAGGTGGTACATTTTTTGCCAGAATACTACACGGATGTGTTGTGTCCTTCTCAGGATGTCACATCCAGGGGCACATGCTATCTCTCTGTCCCTCACTGCTGATGGTAGTTTTGATCATTCAATCACATGTTGTCCAATTTCTTCACTAGTTACATACAAAAGGCACATATACATACATCCATACATAGACATGTACACATGTATACCCATACATACATATATATTGTATAAATCATAAGTTCAAACAGATATGTCTAAGTCTAATCCCTCCCCAAAAGGTTTGTTCTGCCCTCTTGCATCCATTTTGTGTTTCTCCTTGAACAAAGTCGACACATGTACTCATTTACCAAATCCTACAGGGTCTCTTACAGTTTCAGAACTGTTTTACCCATACTGTCATAATAAGAAAACCTATTTTAAAAGCTCAAGATTTCTTTGCAGTTTTCCCTCCCTCCTATGTCATCCAAGAATGGAGTATATAGTTAAAAACTGTGTTCATGAACTACTTGGGTTCCTATTTGTTCTCTCTTCAGTAAAGTTACAATATCCATTTGAAATACAATTGAATTCAAATTTGTTCAATTTGCTTTCAGTTCTCAATGATTTTTTAAATATGTAGCACATTAACATGTTCCCAAAAGTTAAAATTAGCAAAAGTTACTCAAAAATGTTACCTCTTCCTCCCACATTCTATCTACCGCATTCCCTCACACCACCTTGTGGAGGTCACCAACTTCACTGTTTTCTGGTTTATGCGTCCGAAGCTGCTTTTTGTAAAGATAAGCAGTTATATGTAGGTTGTTCTTATTTCCCCTTCTTTCTCACACAAAAGGCAGCATACTATGCATGCTCTTTTGCACGTGGCATTTTGCATTACTAATGTCTCTTGGAAACCACTCCATGTCCATTCCCAACTGTTATGCACACTCTTTTTCATGGCTGCATTGTACTCCACTGTGTATAGGGACCACAGCTCATTCAACCTTCTTCTAGACTTGGATGCAAGCCTTTTTTCTATATAAGCATGAAATAATTTAAAAACCTATGAATTGGCTTGTAAAATGTCATTAAATTTTTCTTACATTCTGAGATCATTTTAGAAGCTTCTAAGGAAAAACTTAAAAGATGACAAACCCCAAAAGGAAATGGCAAGAATGAATGATTTCTCAGGAATATTTTATTTCTACAAAAATAAATGTCATGTGTGTGTTTAACTCTCCCAGACTTCTTCTCACATCTACTATGTTTTCCAGCAGATTGTATTTAACAAGTTTTGTGTGACTACCTCCTGTTCACTGCTTTGAAATTTCTCGGTTAACTTCAAAAGTGCCATACACATATACAAATACACATGCACACAACACTGACAAAATGCAAAGAAAAAGGTAGACCACAGGGAAAGAATATTACTAATGCTGACAGGAAACTTAAGAAGCCATAGAAACTGAAAGAACATTGTTTATGTTTTAACAAAACTGAAACACTACAAAATTAGGGATGGGGAGGAAACAGTGTTATGTTGAGCAAACCACACCGTCTTATCACATGTAATTGATTAATTTGAGACATTGACAAAACTTCCCAGCCAGAAGTGAAGATGATCAGTGTTACTCTTGTCAGCCTTTCAAAATGGTTTCCCAATGGAACATTTGGGAGCTTTCTATAACGTTGCAAGTAACACTACATAGCTA